AACATCACTTTAATTAAAAAAAAATTATATTATTACTATCAGTATTATTTTTACTATGACAGGTATTATATATGTTTTTGATGCACAGTGCTTAAACAAACGCAATATCATTAGTTGGGGTTTACATTTTTAAGTTGCAAAATTACGTATTTAACAATTAGATATGGTATATAACTTTCTTGAAGCATTTTCTATAGCTGAGATAAGAACTGAGTCAATTAAACCTTTCATTATAGTCAGCCCTTTCTGCTAATACAGTTTTCCTACTTAATAAACTTAACCAAGGTGTACTGTATCTCCTTTATTTCATATTCAGTTTCTAGTTGTGTGTCTCACAATTAACAGTGCTACAAGTGTCTTTAAATTTTTATCATGGCTATGTATCTTGTAAATTGTACATGCTTGAACAAGGTACAGCCTGTTCTTAATCTGCTGCTTGCAGGTCGTGGAGGATAATAAACTCCTACACAAGGTTTTTTGTTGCTTTTCATTAGCGATTGAAAGCAGCAAACAAAGTGCCAAAGGCTATCCCTGGAATCAGGCAGAGTCTTCAGAACATTCCCTGCATTCCCTGTTATCTCCTAAGTATTCTGCAAGCATATCTGAGCCCATTTTATTATGGTAGAAATAACAAAATGTATTTAATATAACTGATTATCCTGACCGTGCAATGCTTTAAAAAATACAGTCAATTTATCAACATCTCAGTCATTAGGAGCTCTACTGCCTTTGTGATTTTCTTGTTCCATGCTAGAACTAGCTTTTTCCTATGATAAATATCGACATATTGCAAACGTTCCCCAGAACTTGATCCAGCAAGCTATCACTGATAGCTTAATTATAAACAATTTCTAACATTTACTGTAGATTGGAAACAGAGGATTTTGTTGCCTACATTTGCACGTGTACATTATATGGTCACATGGCTCATGAAGGTACCTCTGCAAAATATGATCTCTAATAGAGATGCACTTGGATGTGGCTGTTGTCCACCATGGCATCCAAGTACCAACAGTTCATTTCCAGACCTCTAAACTTAGGTCAGGTGGCTTGAAATGATCAATAATAGAGGATTTTTTATGTGCCATTCTTTCACTATAAAAAAATCAGGGTTCCTTATATGGATAATGTGCTTAGCTGTGATAGTAAAAGCTTAGGGAGTGTTCCTGATAAAGTTCATAGGGGCAGATTAGTGTAGGCATTAGTCCAATAAAGTACATAAGACCCTTCTCTGCCTGTCCTTTATGTAGCAAAATGCTGTGTATCTTAGTGAATTTGTGGGGGAGATATGGGTCAAGGATTGTTACATCTTACAAAAGAAGTTTGGGGTTTAAAAAAAACAAACATACATACATACTCACCTCCATACTGAGGCAATGGTGTGATTCTGCAGCTGTCCCCCGTTGGCTGTAAGCCTGATAACATGACCAATGACCGCTCAGTCCTTGGTCAGCCCTGAGCAGAGAGTTGGGACTGTCACTCACGACTCTCCACTCTGCCCCTCCAGATCTCACTGGAAGGCTGGTGAGGGGCCGGCTTACGCTATCAGTAAGAAATCACTGGGCCCTGTACAGCCTACCTGGCAGGGCCCCCCTGAAAAAAAATCTTAAAAATATTTTTGCTAAAAATACACCAACATCATTAATGGACACAAACACAACATAGCTTACACAATTTGTGTTAAATTGAAAAGATAAAACTGTACTGAGTTAATAAATAAGAGTGTGAATGAGGGTACAATTTTTTATGTTCCCTGCATGTATACAAAAGATGCATTCACCCAAAAGCCCTTTTAAGGACTAATGGCTGAATGCAACAACTGATTGATAACTTTACGCTTGGAGTGATTCGAGCATATCAGGCAACTGTTGCTGACAACTTGTTCAAGAGCCTTTGAACTTTTAAAAAAAACAGTAAGTAATTCAGTAGCTACCTAAACACCATTAGACCTTTTACAATGGACTAAATAAACAAATACAATATTTTTTCTTTGCTTTTCAACAACAAAAAAGTGATTCTTCCACAAGCAAAGTTAACTGGCACATTCTCATCACACTTTTTAGCTTTTTTTTTCCAACAGAATAATCTCTGCTTTCACAATCAGAAAACATAAAACATTGTAGTGTTGGGTGGAAAAAAATGGCTGGATTTGGATAAAATTTCAGGTTTCTGGCCTTTTTAACTTGTTTAAAAGAATGTTAGACCCTCACTACTTTTAATAAGACCTACTACTTTTGGTTCTACTAGCATGTGAAGTCTCCTTCCTTGTTACAGCATGGTGTGTTTCAGGACGGGGAGGTGATAAGTATCATCAGAACTCACCTGCTAGTTCATATAGCACCTACAGAGTAAGTCAATCCAGCCTGTCAATCAAGCTCAAGTGTATTAAATGTAATACTTAGCTGTGCTCAGATCAATATTTAGCTGTATTCAGACCAGCAGATTTTGTCTGAGCATTAGGTTAATTCCTAGCCCCAGTCCATGTTATTTCTTCTTATTTCTATTAGTTCTTGTTTCTCTATTTACAGTGTTCAGTTTGTATCTGTTTTTGGTTGTTTTGACTTGCGTGTCCCTATTTCTGATCATTCCCACCATATCCACCATACGTGATGACATAACTGACTCTACTCAATAGGTTTCATCATTTGGACTTCCTCAGGAATGGTGTCAGTGGCACTGCTCAGGCAATATATACACAAAGCTTCTGCTGCTGTTTCAGTCCTCTTCTAAACACACCACCATTTATTAACCCTTATGAGTCCAAAACTGGGGAACTGTTCAGACATAACAGATTAATGTCCTAGCACCACTGCTAAAATCCTAAACAATTTTTGACTCTATATAATAATGCAATATTCTTAGCACTTCTTAGCTTAGATTAATAAACATATAATAGCAGATTGTTTGTTCATTCTAATGGGGATAAAACCAGTGCCAGATGGTGGTACAATATACCAGCAATTCACTACAACAATAATAAATTGATTCAATCAACATAATAAATACTATTTAACTGCCATCTGCACAGGCACGTCTGAGAGCCACAACTTAATACATCTAAGCGGAAAGTCCATTACTCTTTGTGTGGTGCTCTGTGAAGATCTGGTGTGTGTACACTTCTGGGCCTTGGCGTTTTAAGGACTCACACTTTGCACAATGCGATAATCAAGGTTCTATTCTGGCCATCTGCACAGGGTAATCTGAGGGCCAAAACCTGGTACACCAGTAAAGTCCATCAATCTTTGTGGGGTGCTCTGGCGAAGATCTGGTGTATGCTTAGACTCTACACTTCGGACAATTTTAGGGCTCACACCCTTTCCAACATGCAGATACCACAAAAGGACCAGTATCCATTTTTTCTTTAGCAATCTGGTTCTCACTACACACAAACTGCCTTTTCAACCCATTAAAGACATTCCTCTCTCCACTCTCACCTACTCTACAAGGGTGTCTTCCTTTTAGTTTTTGCTGGAAGGCAATGGGCTATGGACAGTTGCTTTCATTGTATTCATCTGACTATTCAATGATGTTGTTTTATAGCAGTTTTCACCTTTGCTGACTTTTCAGTGCTTTAATTGTCTGCTTGACTGGATGCCATAAAATTATCCATATTTGGATACGCTATTCTTTTTTATTTTGACACTAGATAAAAAAACTTTTTTTTTTAGTTTTCCATAAGACAACTTTCTTTATTGATCTGCATTCCAACTTTGCTTTGTGTGTCTCTTTTCTTTCATTGGTTCCTTAAATGAGATTTCCACCTAGTTTGCATTTTTGTCATTGTCCATGTTTGTTTTATCACAAACAAAAAAAGTTTTACAAAAAAAATAAAAAAAATAATCTTTGCATACTGTTAAAAAAGACTAAAAAGATAATACATCTGTGTGTAGAACATATGCCTCCCACTTTAGGCCTGCCTATCCAATTTTTTTGATAAGAGGAATTTCCAAAATTTAATAGCAATTGTGGCAATAGGGGGATAAATATGTTGTGCTTTGTTGTACATTACCACACAAATATACGGTGATGTGTTGCAAACGAAATGCGCCTTTGCCTTTCTCAGTAAGTGCTATCTGATGCCAAAACCCAATTTAGGAAGGAAGGGGCAGTTATGCCTCCTGTGCAGGGGATACAACCACAATCAGGAAATGCTGCAAAGATTGTATTTGCGCTTCATCCTCACATTGGGTAATTTTTTGCTTCAAAATTTTCCCCTTGTATCATTGAGGAATGACCCATGCCCTTTGAAGCTTTCCCCAAAAATGTCTTCTTCCTCCTGCCAACCCCCTGTACTCCTCCTTCTCATGACAGTAAAATTAATGTTAAACCTAAAAATAGCCTTCTCTACCATTATGATTTTTTTATATCTGTTTGAAAAGTGAAAATAATTTCTGCCAGAAATGTTGTAAAGTGACAGCTTTCGGTGCTCCCTGCTTGTACTGGTATTTATACCTCTTGGTGGACTGCAGAATACCCTGCCTTTGTTGAGGTGAGGAGAAGCAGACTAGTTTTGTAGTCCTAACACACTTCTAGTTCTATGGTGACAACAATGCTCCTCTATAAATACAGTCCAGTGAGTGTGTTGTCATTTTTGTGCACTATATAAATGTAAAGGGAATTTATAATGGTTTTGTAGTACATATTTTTCTTATTCATTGGGAGGGGGGGATTGTAAAATAATTTTACATCTTTAGACACATTTTTATGAAATATGTAATATGAAAATTACATTTTTAGAGCTCATATGCACTGCAGTTCCTAAAATGACAATCAGGAGCTGTTGAGCATTTTTTCAGCAGCCCCTGAACTCTCCTTTATGCTTTCCTATGTGTCCATGTACACATAGTCGTTTACAGCCATTTACAGGCAGTTGAGTTTACAGTAATTTTTTGGAACGCACCAAATTTGCGTTCAGGAGTAGATTTTACCAGCATTTCAAATGCCAACCGCTTGTAAACGCATGTAAACGCGGTTAACCGTGTTTATAAGCGTGTGCGTTTATAAGCGTTTTTTAACTGTTCCATGTCCAGTTGCTGTCCAGAAGCCTTTTTTCATCATCAGAAATGCATACAAAGCATTTTCCATGTATTCAAATGGACCCAGTACACCAGCACAGTCAATTCCAGGTTTCATGTGAAAGAAAAAATGGTAGAACGTGCCGCATTATGCTCATGATGGGATCCACAGTGATCCATAGTGAATACAACCAGAAAAGATAGGTAAATATACACATACTGCTCTCTCTGTTTCTGCTCTCTCTATTTCTCTCAAAATGTCTGAAATAGTTAATTTTTTACTATTTTTCAGTGCATTCTGGGCATTTGGGAAGGTCTGAATCCAAAGAACATAATTTTTTGTTTCTCTGCTGTTGTATTATATTCCGGTCTGAATATGCATGGTTTTTTGTGATTTTTTTGTATTTTATCCCAAGTAGACATGCGTTTTTGTTTTGTTTTGTTTTTTTAATGCGTTTTTTTTGCATATATTTATATTTAAATTTTGATTATTTACAAATGTGGCTTCTTAGCCCATATCTTCTTGGGATATTTACTCACTTTTATCTGTATTTGTTATTCTATTTTTCATTTATAATTTTTTTCACAATTATTTGTATCCATTTATTCTTTTTCTCTTTCTTTGTTTCTCCTTTTATTCCACTTCACTTTCCTTTCTTTTCCTCCTTTCTTGTTGTTCTTTGAGATCACTACTTTTGATACAATGATTTTATATGTCTTGTTACAATTAGTAGGCGTACCCTCAGGATTCAGGAGTGCTGATTAGGACAGGTGTTCTTTATTAACTAATACCTATATAAGACAGCACTTTTGTTGTTTTCTTGTTATGATTAAGTAGGAGATCCTGTGAAACGTGTTAACAGGTCCTGTATTCATGTCCTGGTGTTTTGTGTGTCCTATGGCTCAATAAATACACACTATATTCATCTATCCTCCTCCGGTGTGCGGCTGACCCTTCTTCCCATTTGGGAAGGTCTCCTGAGGTTATGTTTTAAAAACGCTTCTAAATGCAAACGCACATAAATGCGCATAAACGCAGTATGCAAACGCAGCTAAAACTGACGTTTTATAACCTACGTTTTCCAGCAGTCAGTTTCCATCGTTCAGAAGAGTTTTCCAAACACCCCGTGTACATGAGCCCTTACATTTGCATCCAGCAGATGAAGCTCTAGGCTCCTTTTAACATGTTTGTTTACCCCACCCTTTCTAAGCAGTTCTGTTAAAAAAGGCTTATTGATTATGCAGCTCAATAGCTCAAGCACTAATTCACATTTACACGATCAAATGAGTCAGGAGAATAAGTCACTGTTCCTTCTGCTCATTATCTCTCTTACTGCTCTGTTCACACATGTCTATGTGGAATTTCAATCACAGAGTGAAAAACCGTCTGCAAACAAACAGCCTCTGCTGTTCCCTCTGTAAATCTTGTGTCATGGATGCATCATGTATAAAATGCTTATGTGTTAAGGTTGTAAATGCATTGTTTGGTGCCTCGGGAATTGCATTACCCAGCCAACTCCTATTGATGAGAGCTCACGTCAGCCTTGGTGTTTCTCATTGCTATAATAAGTGGCTTCACTGGCCAGCTGTAAGGTATGGGTGCATAACCTCCTTCTCAACCACATGAGTTGGTTGAGATTTGCATAACAGTGTTACTGTCCTGGCATAATCTAGCTTTGTAAGCATGCACCACTTTTGATACTGTTTTGTTTCATAACAAATTAATCTCGTATGCTACCAAATGATTAATACAGTATGCATCAACCACATGCTTCTGTAAACAAAGTTAAAGTGCAGCCTAGCCAGCACATGTTATGCAAACATTTCTGGAACACAGCACAAGGTTCAGGTCTCAAAATTACCAAAATGTTCTTCAAGGCTGTTTTCTGTTAGATAGCTCAGGTTCTTGGAAGAAGTCATCTAACAGAGCTTCATAAACTGCTCTTCTTAACCAACAATGAATTTTTGAAGTATCATATTAAAATTGACTCCATTAAAGCATGTGGCAGGAAACCAGTGTTGTGAAAATGTTCTTGAGTTCAGGCCAAAATGCAGTAATAAATTATCTTTCTGGCACCAATCATATTGGTATATCTCTGATTCCTTTTCTACTATCCCTAAAATAACATGGCCCCCTCAAGACCTGACCTGCAGTGAGTAACTGGAGCCATGAGCTTCATAGTTTCTAAGAAATGAGAATGTTTTATCAGTAAACAGAAATAAATTCATGACTCCCTAATAGTGTTATTCTTAGTGCCAGTAATATTAAATAATACATCCTTTATCCAACCTAAATGTCCTTGAACAAGACCAACAGAAAACACAGTCCTCTATTTTTGTTCACTGCTTTTGTATCAAAACATATCAATCTTGGGAGACATTAACTTTTTATAGTCACTGTGAACCCATGTTAACAGTTTATTAAAAAAGACAGTGATCATTTAAAATCTATACCACAATTCCACATGATATGTATGTTGGTTGCTGTCTTTATAGAAATTATTTAACTACTTCCCGCTCGCCCACAGTACCACAGTACATTTACTGCGAGAGGGCAGCACGAGCAAACTACATCATGTACATATCAGGGGCGGACTGACCATTTGGAAACTCGGGCACTGCCCAAGGGCCCGGGGTCAGTAGGGGGCCCCATGAGATGCCCCTGGTACCTTTTTCATAGGCTTTTTTGAGTTCGGGCAAGGACACAGGGGTCCCATGATCCCCTATTGCCCGGAGGCCCCATGAGTTGTCAGTCCGCCTCTGGTACATATGCATCATCCAGTCTTTCCCAGGTTAGGGGCGCGCATGCGTGCACTCACTTCTAACCCCACTGGCTACAACAGGATTTTGTCAGCAGGCCCTGGCCAATGATTTATTATTTACAAACAACAGGGGCATATCTCATGGGGCCCCCCTACTGACCCCGGGCCCTAGGGCAGTGCCCGAGTTTCCAAATGGTCAGTCCGCCCCTGGTCCTACTATAAGTCACTGATCACCTCCATTACAAGTATAGCATCATAGTTGTGTAAATTCCAGTATACATACCATAGTTTGTAGATGCTATAACTTTCCCACAAACCAATAATTAATATACACTTATTGGGATTTTTTTTTTACCAAAGAGGCATGTAGCAGAGTTTTTACCTAAATTTATGAAGATTTTTTTTTTTTCATTTTTTATTTTTTGTGTAACTAAAAGAGTAGTCAAATCATAAGACTGGTACCCCAAAATTTAGTGATAAAATCCAATCAAATATAAACATGTCTAGGATAAACACAGATCCAGTGTATTTAAACTCAGTTTGAATATATTGCAGCTTACCAGTCCTTAGATGTGGTGGCTGCATTTACCATTTGACTATCCCCTCTAGCAGATATACTGCTACATGGAGGCCGCTCTGTGCAAAATCACATAAATGTGATTTTGCAGTTCTGCGCTGCCATTGGTTGTAGCGGATGTCAATTACCGGGTCCCAGTTGGCGATTCTCAGTCGGCACTCAAAGTTTGCCACTAAAGGTGAGAGGGGAGAGATCTGTGTGTAACCAACACAGATCTCTCTCCTGTCAGCATGGACATGCTGCTTTCTCTCTCTCTGCACAGCATGTCTCCCTAGTAAAACAGCACACAGTGTAAGCACAACACAGCACACAGTTAACCCTTTGAATGCCCCAAATGTTAATCCATTCCTGCTCAGTGTCATTAGTACAGTGTCAGTACTTTGTATTAGTGTCACTGGAGATGTCAGTGGCCATTAGTCAGTTCCCACCCAGTGTCAGAATTCCCGCCGCAGTCCCGCAGTCCTACTATAAGTCGCTGATCGCTGCCAATATTAGTATATAAAAAAAAAATTTTCCACTATATATACCACCATTTGTAGACGCTATAACTTTCATGTAAACCAATTAATTTACATGTATAGGGATTTTTTTGTTAGCAAAAATATGTAGCAGAATACATTTTGGCCTAAATTTCTGAAGAAATGTAATGTTTAAAATTTTTTTATTGGATATGTTTTATAGCCAAAAAGTCAAAAATATTGTGTTTTTTTTTCAAAATTGCCAGCTTTTTTTTTTATATAGCGCAAAAAATAAAACTGCAGGGATGATCAAATACCACCGAAAGAAAGCTCTATTTGTGGGGAAAAATGACATAAATTTCCTTTATGTACAATGTTGCATGACCGCGCAGTTGTCAGTTAAAGTAGCACAGCGCCATATCACAAAAAATAGCCTGGTCAGGAGGGGAGTAAATCATCTGGAGGGCAAGTGATAAATAAAATTTTTTCAGACTTATTCCCTTGTTTTTACCTTTTGATCCTACCAGTAAGACACTTCCTGTCCTAGGGTGACAATATTCATATTTGCTTGGCTCAGAGGAAGAGGTTGTGTCCTTGAAACGCATCATCCAGGGTGCCATCGTATGGACTCAGATGTTGTTTGGATCATACATCTTGTTCAGTTTGACATGCCTGTGTTATTATGTCCATTGTGAGTATGATACCTATTTTGTTTCTTCAATAAATTATTTTAAACGATAATGCACTAGGTTGGTGCGCCCTTTTTCTGTTTCTCCATTTGTATCCAATGACAATATTCATACTGTACCTATTAAAAAGCATTGTCACCCTAGGACAGAACTAAGAAAACCTTCCCCTATTCTCTTTCTTCTCTACTCCATATTGTACTGGGGATTGTCCTCAGAGATAGCTGGTGAAAATGTAACTGGTAACAGGCAGTTGAAGCTGAGAGAAGTCATAGGTTGATGAGATTTCTGGAAAAAAAGAGGTTTCTTTGCATTTAACATAACATAACATAACATAACATAAAGCATATTCAATATAATATGTAAAAAATCAAAGGGACAAATATGAGAAGTGCTTTGTTAGGGTTTACATAATCTTTAAAGAGAACCTGCATTATACCTACTCAAGGAAAAGGAACAAGTTCACTTGATGGATCTACCCATCCATGCTGATACTTACTATCCCTGTGCTCCTCCTTCGTCCTGTTCATCCAGTGGGACGCAGTGAAATACCTGGTACTTCTGGGATCAGAAATCTCCCTAACAGGGACATAAACAACAACAGAAGTTTTATTGAGGCCCAAAATACTTCTTCACGCTATCTAAACAAAAAATAAATATGTTGGGGGGCACGTGTTTTGCTATATAAACACGGACAGCTGTGACTCAGTGGAAGGAAAGTCAGTCAACTGCAGAGAGACTGCTGCTTACACACAGATAGCAAGGGGTGTTCTCTGTAGGATGCTAATGCTAATGGGGACTGATTTATTCTGGCGGTAGCTGCTCTATAGCAAAAAAAACTGAAAGACTTTTCAAATCTTCTGTTTTGGTTCACACTGAATGTAGTTAACAAATATGAGATGACTTTGTTTAATTTAACTTTATATGAATAGCTATAAGAAGAAAATAACTAAAAGAACCTGACTTCTTTTCAAATGCAGCAAATATACAGGACTACATTAAGATGGTAAAATTAAGCCTCGATTTAACATGCAGCGGTTGGCAAACTTTTATTAATACAGACAGAACTGAAAGAAGGAGACCTCCAATACAGTCCAGACCACCAACATACTTCCTGCAGCCCTAACCTTTTATATGTTCACAGTCTTTAATAATATTTTGTTAAGCTGCACTCACTATTTCATCTCTATTGATTTGCAATAAGAAATCCTGGATTTGTGGTGCAGAGAACTGCTGAATTTCATGTTCCTAGTACTTATAACTTACATGTGGTTGCCTGTCATGGTTATAGTTGTGACTGCACTTTGTGTTCCTTGTTTCTTAGCACTCACTTTCCAAATGAAGGATTTTCACTAGGATCTACTGTGAATGTAAGATGTTCTGTATTTTTACAACCAACAAATCTTCTTTATTTTCCTTCTGTGGTTTATCCCTATTGTGGGGGTGTGTGTCTTCCAGTATAGTCCCTGCTGTTTGCAAATATTTGATTGTTTGTATGACATCTCTTGGAACAAGGTGTTCAGGGTTTCCTGTATTTGCAATTATCTGC